TTCCTTCATTTTTTATTTATTTTTATTTATTTGATTTGTCGATCGCTTACAAGATAATAGGTAAAAGTATAAACATAAGTAAGAATACAGGAAATAGGGACGAATAAATGGGGACAGTAGGACAGGGACGGTAGGCAGGATGGTGCACTTATGCACATCCCTTGCAGACCTCTTAGGAATGGGGTGAGGTCAACAGTGCATAGTTTGAGGTTGAAGGAGTGGAGGGGTTAGAGGATGCGACAACAGAGTCAGGTACAATAGAAATCCATTTTTGAGTGTGATTCCCAAGCAGGAAGAGGATTATGGGATGGGGGGAAGGGATGAGGGTGGGTGGGGGGGTGGGGGGAGCCTTATGGGAAACCCCAGCCATGCCAGACCCAAAACTTCCTTCTCTCTCCTCACAACCACACAGGTTTTACAAGCTGCACGAACGGAAATGTGAGCCCATTGTCATGACCGTACCCCGAAAAGTGAGTCTTTTGTGAATGGGACGGCCCAATTGTCTGGCATGGAGTAGTAGGGTCTCTTGCCTGAGCCAGGGGGTTGGACTAGAAGACCTTCACGGACCCTTCCAAGTCCGTTATTCTGTAAATAGAATAGCACCTTTTGAGATCACTTGCATGCGGTTCAAACCGAAGGAGAGAAAGACTTTTACTGTGGAACCCCAAATCTCCATTACAAAGGATGTGAGCATCCTTCAGCGAAGGCGCCTGCATCTAGCCTGTGGTTGCATTTCATACTTTTTCCTTGCAGTGCTTCTAACTTCAAAATGCAATGTCTTCAAACTAAAATGTACTTGCCAACCTTGGCAATCTTTAAGATGTGTATATTCCCTTTCCCAGAATCCCCCAGCTAGCATTCTTTAAGAGGGGAGGACTTCCACTCCCAGAATCCCCCACCCAGCAGGCTTTAAGAAGGGTGGTCTTCCACTCCCAGAATCCCCCAGCCAGGATGCTTTAAGAAGGGTGGGCTTCCACTCCTAGAATCCCCCAGCCAGGATGCTTTAAGAGGGGAGGGCTTCCACTCCCAGAATCCCCCAGCCAGGATGCTTTAAGAGGGGAGGGCTTCCACTCCCAGAATCCCCCACCCAGCATGCTTTAAGAGGGGAGGGCTTCCACTCCCAGAATCCCCCAGCCAGCCTGCTTTAAGAAGGGTGGGCTTCCACTCCCAGAATCCCCCAGCCAGGATGCTTTAAGAGGGGTGGATTTCCGCTCCCAGAATCCCCCACCCAGCAGGCTTTAAGAAGGGTGGTCTTCCACTCCCAGAATCCCCCAGCCAGGATGCTTTAAGAAGGGTGGGCTTCCACTCCTAGAATCCCCCAGCCAGGATGCTTTAAGAGGGGAGGGCTTCCACTCCCAGAATCCCCCACCCAGCATGCTTTAAGAGGAGAGGGCTTCCACTCCCAGAATCCCCCAGCCAGCCTGCTTTAAGAGGGGAGGGCTTCCTCCTAGAATCCCCCACCCAGCATGCTTTAAGAAGGGTGGGCTTCCACTCCCAGAATCCCCCAGCCAGG